TTGTACGACGTTATTTCATACTAAAAAAAATTTTTCTTCGCATATATTATATTTCTCACTAGGGATTCTTTGGAATGTCATACCTTTTTCTTTCCAAAAAAACTATTTTCAAATCTTTCGCTGACATTCATAACTCAATAAGATTTTACGTTTTGTAACGATATCTTTAAGTCGGTTAAACTATTATTCCTTTGATTCATCTAAATTTGGTGATCAGCAGCGTAATACGTTACTCCATTTTTTGACTAACTAAAATTTTGGTCAAGTTTATGATTTATTTGATGAATTTTTAAGATACTCAGCTGAAAAAATATATCCTGAAAAATTTTATAGATTTTTAGGTTTTTACAACATTTGCCCCACATTAATTTCTTTACTTTGTCTTTGGAAATAAACTACAAAAAAATTGTTTTTTTCTTTTTGAAAATAAACCACTATAAGAATTAGGGTTTTGTAAATAAGTAAGTTTTCTTTGTTAGGTGATTAAAAAGAACATTGACCTGTTATTTCGAGCTCGAGTTTTCTTTTTTCATTTCAAACAGGTCTATTAATTAGAATGTTGTTAACTTTAAAAAGGAGGCATTTGAGAGAGTCCGCCTGAATATGCATCTAATATTCATCTACGACTTTTGATGATAAGTCTTTGATTAGCAAAAAATCTGTCTTTGTGCCGTAACAATTGGTTTTTTGTAATCAGGTATTTGCTGAATTTTTGAAGAATTCTTGTTGTCATTTTAGTTTGCTAAACATTGTCTGTTCAAGTCACACCACCTAAACGGAAAACTGATTTGCCGAAAAAAACTTATATACTCGTTTGCAGACTGTCAGTACTTTGAGAAGTTTGGGAAGGACCGATAACCAATACAAAAAATTGCTCTGAACTACTGTTTCGGTGAGTTAAAAATGACATAAACTTTTTGGATCAACATTTCAACTGCTTACCAATCCATTAATAAATCAAAAAGTCATTTGTCAATCAATTTTTTTTGTTCAACTAAACAGGGTAAATTTTCGTTAAAATAATTTAAAAAACCAACTTTTATTTTATGCTTACAATTGTTTTAAGGTTTTCAATGCTAAAAACTATACTTAAATCTTTATAAACTTGAAGAAAAAATTTTTGTTTTGTTAAGGCTTGCTCTAAAAAAGTCGCTCAATTTGTTGATAATAATTAACAGACTTAAAATACTGAGAAAAAAAATTTAGGAACCGAACAGGTTTTCAAAGACACCTACGATCTGCTGTCTTATTCAGTCATTTTAGTAAAGTACGACAGATGTGAACAGTTGAGAAACAGGTTTTCCTGTAAAGTTGTCGAAGAGTTAGTCAAGTGTAGTGAATGTTTAAGTTTTAATCCATTTGCTTACTATGAGCTCTTTATTGCCATCGTTGCCACATTTTAGCCAGAATTTTTTCTAGGAATTGTAGGTGATCTTTAGTCCCAGTAATATCCTGTGATGGTAGGTAAATTTATCGTTTGAAGCCAAACTGTCAACTACTTTTACTACCAATTAATAAAATCTTATTTACTGCTCTTTTTAGCTGATTTGTATTAAATCGAGGTTTTTTTTGCCATATCCTTCAAATTGGTTTCACATTCTCATGTCGTTTGTCAATTCATTTAAGGTATTTTTAAAAGTAAATCGGAAAAGGCAAAGGTGTAAACATTTAAAAATGTTGAAGAAAAAATATCAGGATTCTAATTACAGCTATCCAGTTGTTGGCACGTTTGCTGAGGTTACAGAAAGCTTAAAGGGCCGTTGTTTATCTAGTGTCATCATTTATGGTAAACCAATCGGAGAAATCGGTAATTGGAGTGGGCATTAGGCGGCAACCATTGCAACCCTACTGCTTTTAGACTACTGTCGTCGGTTAGCGGATGTTGGTCCGTTTGTTTGTCGACCGAATATGAACTGCCATCAGATTTCCATATGAAATTATTCGCCAACCGTCACTAAAAATCCATCAATTAGTGTTGAGGTCTCAAAACTACTTAGAATTGCTTCCCCTATTAAGCATTGATTTGAAAGTCAGTGTAATTTGTAGTAACATCAAATCATCTATTAGATTAGTCTTGTAATTTATGAGAATCCATTTAATGCAACCTTTCTTTTAACGTCTGAAACAAATAACCTGCTAAATAACTGAAAATTCATGTCCAATAAATATGTAAAAGAGATAGATCAGGAATGGTTTAGATGACTGAAGACAGTGAGGTATTGAAATGGTAAACATTTATAACTGTAATTTCCAAAACCAGTTTATTTTCTAATTTACCCTTATTTCGGCTGAATTTATCCAAACAACGTATACTAACACTTTGGACAAGGTCTAGGTAATGTTTCAGCAAAAAGTTAAAACATTTGCATATAAAATGCAAATATACTAAACAATGCAGTCATTTATCAAACTGTGAAATGTATGAGAAGTAACTGATCAAAATGTATATCTGTCTATACTCACCTATTCTTATGCAGTTTTTAACTTTTTTTTTGTTATGTCATTAGTCAAAATTTTTGTAAATCTTTTATCTACAATAAAAAATAAGTGATCTGCAAGATACCCCTGACCACCACAACAACCATATTTGGAATGGTTCACCTTAAATTACAATTTCTTTTTTGTTTACTATTTAAGCAACCATCTTTGGAGCTGTTACGGATTTGCCGTACGATTTTGACATCTAAAAGGTTGATCAAAATTTAAGCCATAAATTATACGTGAAAATACCAAAAAAGTTTTTGTTTTAATGGAAGTGTTACGAATAACATTACAACAATACTTTTGTAAATCATATCGTTCAGTGGTTCATTTTTAAGCAAATGTTTAACGTTTATCAAATGTAGAATTGCATTAATAATAATGCAAAAAAAAGGATGAACAGTGGTGGGCATAAAAGCGAAATAAACTTTGTACAAAGGCGGAAACTTCTTATTCGCTTTTGCTGTCAAAATATTATTACTCCTGCCTGATAAGCGCATTTTACCATTGAACAGTTCACCAAAAAAAGTTATCAGTTAACAAAAAACTTTTTCTTACAAAGAAATAAATTTTTAAATCTAATTAGTGTCAAATCCAGCTATAATACTCTTTAGGTGCCGTGTAAGAGCTACTTTTAAGTATTTTATAACTCTAAAAAGAACTGTTTTCTTTTTTTTGTTCTCATAAATTGTCACGGGAGATGCTAAGAAGTTGCCGAATTCCGTAACACAAAGCTTGGATATTGCTGGCTGCAGCTCCTAAGAATATACTGTTGAAAAATATACATTGTAAGTTCTAGTCTTATAGGTGTTCAAAGCTTTATTCAGTAGTGTAAAAAAACAAAAACAGTGGCAAAACCTAAGTCTTCGGCTCAACTTTTATTGTGTTAAGCGGAGCTTCTTGATAGTTAGGTGACTAAGCATTGTTCCGGAAAAGAATACCTTGCAGATTAGCAAAACCTTGTTTAGTACTAAGAAAGAAAGAAAAAAATACGGAATAATTGCACCTTTTCTTCTTTCTCTTATTGCTTCTTATTAAAAGCTTACTACTTTATAATTAGGCGTATTCTATGCAAAACAAACAACATAACAGCTTCTGAGCATCTATTTATATGTACATAACCGAAAACTGTTGTACAGCAAATAAACTGTGATGGAACTGATGGAAAATAAATATTTTATGCGTGAAATCATAACTATACAAAAAGCAGAGCCGTAAATAGATTGAAGTGATTGAATAAATGATCGGAATAAAGTTATACAACAATTATAAATTACATTTATAGATACATCGCTCAGATATTTTTAGTTTTATTTTAGCAGTCAAAATGACTGTTATTCCTCTAGAAATAAATTAATTCGTTGTTATTTAAGAAATTTTTTGCGCAGTTAATCAAAAATAAATTAAAAATTTAGATTTGTTTATTTCACTGTTGCGGAATTTAGCTATCAAAAAAAACCACTAACTTTGAGCTGTTACCGTTGAAATGTGTAGAAATCAGCTTAACAGTTTTGTTTGGATTAATCGGTCAGGAAGATTAAATTACAGATGTATTCTATAAGCCAATATCTTTGACCAAAGAGAGACATAAAAAAAAGAAACTTAAAAAATAAACAATAACATCGATAAACTCCAAAAAAATTATGTACATTGTAAACTTTGAAATTCAGATTTTTTTTCAGAATATTTAGAAGACAATGTATTATCCGCTTATAGAAATGCTGTTTAAACCTGTACCATTATCCATGATTACCCTGTCGTTATGTCACCACTTATTAGCCAAAACAAAAGAAAAACCAAAAACCATACTTTCCAAAAAAAAGAAGGAAAAAAAAGCAGAAAGGGAAAGGTAATTATTAAAAACCAAAAAAAAAATTTAGATTCTTAAAGATTCAAAGCATTATTTTTCTTTCCTTTTGTCTATCACTTTAATAAATGGTAGAACTGTTGTCCGTCTCTCTTTTCACTCACGTTTTTTTGTATGATCATTACTATCCTGCATGAAGTACTTGCCGAAGTAAAACTGAGACTGCTTTATTCAATTACAAAGTGA